TAAACCTACTGCAGATCCCATGTGCTAGAGTCTCTGGTGGGGCCAGACTTGGGGTGCACTTGGTGGTGTAATAGCTAGCTTCTAAAGCATCGGTTCTAATCTAAAATGGAGAGCTATCAAAAGTTACAGAAATGACTCATTTGACCAGCATTGACTGAGCACCTGCTCCATGCTAAGACATTCCAATCTCAGGGTTCAGCCTGAACAGAAGTGGCAAGGCCAGCCTCCTGCCTCTTACCTGGTCCTGGGGGATAGTGAAAAGGGGCACAACCCACTCAAGAATGTGGCTGCAGTGGGAATGAGTGTGGTGTATTGGAGAAATCAAGGGGTCCGGTGTGGCTGGATGGTCCCCAGAGGTCGACCCAGGATTAGTGAACTAGCAGGCTCCCAGGGGATTTTAAGTAGAATCACATCCAATGTACCTCTTGCCAAATCCATGTGGTCAGCAAGAGAATAGGGGAGCAACAGAGTGAGCAAGCAGTCAGGTAGTCAGGGAGGACCCCTGCAGTGGAGAAGCCAGGAGAGGGGCCGATGAGAGCCATGGAGTTCAGGTTTAGGATCCAGGTTGGGGATGGCAACGGATTGGAGTTTGGGCTGCAAGGGAGAGAACCCCTGAATGCTTGGCCTGATCCAAACTGCTTCCTAAGATGGGAGAAGATGAAGGAGAAACACACTTGGCAGTAAACCCAAAACGCTTTGTCTTGATCCAGTTATTTTTGGAATGTTATGGGCCAAGCATATCAATGACTGCAAACAATACTTTTGTTGAATCCCGTCTGTAGATGAGGGGAGGTATATGAGTAATCAAATTTCTTATGTATTAAAAATTCCATTTGAAGGCACAATATAGCCTTGCTAAATAAAACGTGATTAAAAAGCGCCCTTCAATTTTTGTCGATATAGTGTTTTTAAAAAAATTCTCATTTTGCTGCAAATAGTTTTGCTTAAAAATAATGTATTCTCTTTTAGAATTGTGGTAATTGATACTTTCACATACCTGATGTTCTTCAAAGCTCTTTTCATTGTCAGTTTTTAAAATATTTAATCCTGAATATTTTCATCTGAGTTGATGTAGATTCTTGATGATTAAATAGAAAATGATTATTAATTGGGGTTAGGGGTGTAGCTACTAATGGACCAGTGAAAATTTCCTAATAGTCCTAAATCTTGATTATGGTCTTTAGCATGAATGTTATCACTGGATATTTTCTTTCCTTCTTCTTCTTTTTTTTTTTTTTGCAGTGCTGGAGATCAGACTGAGGGCCTGGAAGGTGAGGGACAAGTGCTGTGCCACTGAGTCACACCTCGCCCCCCCCCCAGCAGAACACCCTTTGAGCAATCAATCAACTCAGAAAGATTCAGAGCACTACCCAGAGCCCCACTCCTCCATTTGGATTTATCCATGAACCTACTTGGCAGTCATGACTTCATCTATTGTTTAGCTGCCTTTTATTTTATTACACGGGATTTAGAAACATAACTCTACATTGGAGCATGATATTATTTTGCATTACCTCTGGACACTAATAACTTCTTCTGGTATATGAAAACATACAAAAAATGGGTTCCTATCATTTAGAACATAATACTGAACTTTTCTTCTACTCTTACTTAGCTAAGTTTTAAATTACGAGCTTCATTTACTGATTTTTTTTTTTTTAAATCCCCATCTAGTAGACTGCCATGCTTGCAATGATATGTGTGTTTATAAAAACAGCATGGAGGTTAATTCAGACCATTTCATGGAAGTGGTTTATGTATTGTAATCATGAGTCAGTACACAATTCTCTCTAAATTTAAAAACAATGTAAATTATGCAGGCCAATTTAATTCTTGCCAAGAAAGACTATTCCTTAAAGCCATGTTTTTAAGTTTATTAGGCTAAATGCAACTCTATTCTGTAACTAATAAGTGAGAGGATTTATTGAATTTTGAAATCCACTGATTGTAAGTTATGTTTTTCAAGTTATTTAAACAAGTTAAATATGTTTATAATAATTTCATTTCCTATGTGACATCTAACTAATGAGGAAAAAAATAAGGCCAGGAGAGACTAGAGTCAGTCTAATCTCTGTCGTGGCCAAGGCCAAGTTTCATCCTGTCCAAATGCCACTTCTCAGCCACAGCTCTGAGAGATTAAGCATGATTGTGTGGCATTGCTCTGCTCCCTGACACACGAGTTGGTGTCACAGCTATCTCTAGCCTGCGGTGGCCTCGCCTAGGAAGTGGGAAGGCAGCCTGCTGAGGAGTCACACGCTAAGAGTGAACGGGGCAGTGGCCACAGCCGAGGTGCTTGGCTCATGCCAAACTCATAAGAAAGTTCTGACCATAGGAAGAGAGTTTGCATGTGTGCTTTTTAAAATTCTAGATTATATTTTGCAAGTTTGAATATATATTCTCTGTGCTCCATAAGTTTTTGCTTACTGAGCCTGATTTTCTGCTTGTTTGATTTGGATGGAAAATCTAATTTAGTTATGATGATTTAAAAAACTGATCTGACCATGCATATAATCTGCAGTAATTTATTCTTTGCCTTTTGGTAAAACGTGAAGCCTGGGGTGGGAGAAACTTGGTTTAAGATTTTTCTTCTCCATCGGTTCAGGGTATGGTCTAATCTGAGTATGACTTCAGTGTTATCTTTCCTCATTCTTCTTCTTCTTCCGTGGCTTGTCTCATGTGTTTCTAACCTCTGTATCATATTGATGGTGTCCACATTTCCAGATTAGAACACTTGGCTTGGTCACCTCCCTGCGGACACTTCTATTTATACAGCAGGTGTTTGCAGCTTGGACTTCACTACTCAGGGTGCCACATTGAGAGCCCACTGTCCCCTTTCAGTCCGATCCTCAGCGTAGTCCCATTTCCCAGTGCTCTGAGCCTAGCTTCCTAAGCTGAGGAGGGGACCCCCAGTGCCTTTCATGTGCTCTGACCTCTGGGAAGCTCCTGCATCCTGTCATGAGCGATGGCTGCCCTCCCAGGGACTCACTTGAAGCAGTGAGTGTTACTGGAAGTTCTGCTCTTCCGGCTGCAGTTGGTATGTGGAGGAGCCAGGAGAACTTAGCTGCTGGGAAGCGGCTTCTTCAAGAATTCTCTGAGCCCTGCCCTGGTGATAAACCTGCCACCTGATAAGTACTGAATAGTCACTGCACATTTTCAAGATAATGCCAGAGCAAAAAGGCGGTCATTATAGGCCACCAATGGAAATGCACTTGACTTGGGACTTAGATATACTGTTCATTAGACATCAGTCACACTTAGGGGGTGAGGTTGTTCCCCAGCAGTTAGCCTGTTCCTCCTGGAAAAGATATCTGCCTTAGCATGAGGGGTCCTTGGAGTCCCAAAGGAATATGCATCCAAGTTCTCTTGATCATCTGAGCACCCACCATGCACTGTGGACTGACTGTGTGCAGGGATATGAAGATTAACAGGACTCGGCTGCTACCCACAAACTCTGGCACACAGGGCGGGGTGGGATGTAACACGCAGGTGCAGCACATTTGATCAGGGATCCGTTACAAGTGTGCATGGGAAGTGGGTGGTGTGAAGAGCATCAGTTTTACACAGGGTGCAAGAGGGAACCAGGAAAGATTTGGGGAGGTGTCAGACCAAGTCCTGAGAAATGCCAGGTGTGGACCCCAGAACCAGGGGCACAGAGGATGGGGAAGGAGGCTTTTAGAGAAAAAGTTACTCGTGACAGTGGTGAAAGACACTAAGACAGAGTTGATTCAGTTCCATCATGGCAGGTGTGGGATCCACTTCATTGGGAACTGCAGTGGAAGAGAGTGATCAGGATCAATTCTGAATGCAACCAGGGAAAGTGGGAATTTAGAGCCAAGGAGTGAGGGCCGGGGTTGACTGTGGATGGAGAATAACTAGGAGGAACCATCAGGGATATGGAGGACTCCAGCTAAAATGACCTCATGAGATTGTTACTGAGGACAGGCCACAGTGATCAGAGGATGGCACCTGGGGGAGGGGATGGTGGAGGAGTGGAGCCTGGTCAGGTATCAGGTGTGGTCAGACATGGAGGGTCATGGGAGGTGGTCTGGGGTGGTAAGAGGTGGGTGTGGTGTAGAGGGAGGTCTTTGGGTTAACTGACATAGCAGCTTCCTGAGCAAAGTGGACAATACAGGGAAAATGTGGCACCCACAGTCAGGGCCTGGCTGGGAAGAGGGTGCCAAAGGCCTGAGTCGTTTGGGCAAGTAGACAATCTTTGTCAAGACCTGGGTGGAGGATTTAATGGAGGATAGGCTGGTGACAAAGTAGAAGCAAATCCACAGAGGACCTTTTTGGCTGTGATGAGGGGCTTGTTCTTTGTCTACTTGGTGAGGGTCTTTAGGTAAGGAGTGACAGAATCATTTTTTTTCCCCTTTAAGAATGAAAATACCAGGGCTGGGGTGTGGCTCAGAGATAGAGCACTTGCCTAGCACGCGTGAGGCACTGGGTTCAGTCCTCGACACCACATAAAGATATTGTGTTCATCCACAAAGAAAAAATTAAACGTTTAAAAAGGATTTTAAAATATTTTTTTAAAAAAAGCATGAAAATACAGAGCAATTATAGGAAGGGTTCAAAGGGAGCCGGCTGGGCACTTAGCCCAGCAGAGCCAGAGTTAGGGCGGCTGCCGAGCAGGGTCACTTGGGGGGGACATGAGTATGAGGATGTCATGGGTAGAATGCCCAGCTCTCGTCCTGGGACTGTTGTGGTTGGGTAAGGCCTCAGTGTACCCAGAACTCAGTGTTCCAGTGTATGGAGCCTTGGCCTCTCAGATGGCAGCACTGAAATGTGGTGTGGGGACCTTGAGAGGTGGGTGTGGCCTAGAGGGAGGTCTTTAGGTCCCCGAGGGCGTTACCACTGGGGGGGGGGTTGAGACAGTTCTCAAAAGAGCTTCTTGTTATCAAGCTGGAGCTCAGCCCGTGTCCCTCCCCTTCCTGCCTTGCCCAGTGATTTCTCCCATCTGCGCACACTCCCATGACCTGACACCACCAGCAGGCCCTCACGTGAGCCAGGATGATCCCGCATCTTGCCTTGAACCCCCGGAATTGTGAGTTACAGGAGCCTCTCTTACCATTATCAAGCATTTTTGTTAGAACTGGTGACTAATGTGGTGACCAACTGACTGCAGGAGGAGAGGGACAGAAAGCTGTAGAGGACATATCCCCAGATTCCTGGTCTGGGGGGTTGGGTAGGTAGAGGAGCCATTTCCTAATGTGGAGACACAATGGGTCAGGCATGACCATGTGGACACTAGTGGCTGCACCTTATCAAGGACATTACCGGACTCCATGCAGGATTCCTGTTCTTGGTAAATACCTGATAACTCAAGGCTCCAGAATTCTCCTCCTTCTTCTCCAAGGCACGCAGGTAGTTGAAAATGGTGTGTGTGTGTTATTTTGGATTCTCTGGCTGATTTCTCTGCATACGAATGTCTGTACAGCACAAATATTAGCTCTAAAAATACCTCTATCCGCCTCCACAGTGATTTTCTTAGCCACTTCGGGCAACTGTCAAAGCCCCAGTGAAGCATACAAGTATAATTTGGAGGATTTATGAGGGGGCAAGAATGGAGGTAGGAGTCACAATGCCATTTTTTAAATGTCTCAGATTTTGTAAATAAATACAACTGAAATTATAGTAATTTTAATGTATTATATGTGCATGTGTCTCTTTAAGCTTTAAAAAATACATGAAAGGATGTGAATTGTCCCCTAGGATCCCAACAATAGAAAGCAATAGTAATTAAGCAAAAAATAAATAAATCGACATGAATGCATCGGGGCTAATATAAATCCTGTGCAATTGGCATAAAGGAATTTGTTATTTTCAAAACAGAACTAAATCTCTTTTCCATTATAGATTTAATTTAAGTAACATGATAAATAGTGGTAAATTGAACTTTATTATGTATTCATGAAATGCAGTTTAATACAATTGTTATTTCTGGCATTTGTGGTTTAAAGATATTCCCTTATGGGTAGATGTTATTTTTAATGTGCAAATTCAGAAATAATGACCTCCAGTTGCACTGGTGAATTAGGACTGTATATACACACACATGGACAATAAGGGAGAAATAGTCTCCGAATTCCTGTCTTATGAAAATTTTCTAGTGCAACCTCTGATCCTTTCAAAACAGACATTAAACAAATTATTTTAAGGTTTCAACTATATTGCCAGTGAAGAAAAAGCAATAAAGTAAATATTTTCCAAAGGATTTTAAAGGAATGGTCTTTGACAAGGACATACCTGAAAAGGGAAACTCACTTACTAAGAACAGGTTATTGAAAAATATCTGCAGAGCTTAAAAAAAAAAAAAAAGACATTAAGATTCACACAAAATGACTCCTCGCTGGCATGTCCAGAACATAAAGTTGGAAACCCAAAAGGAAAGGATAAACAGATAAACAACCCACAAACCTCTTTTTCAGAGAATCAGGAAACTGTTCAAGAGAAAGAAACATTAGCTATTTGGTGTCACTTTCATTTAGCCCAGCTCTCTTTGGCTTCTGGGAAGCTTGCCAGGTGGATAGACCACTAGAAGAACTGCCTACGTGAAGGACAGCAGCGCCTCCAGGGCCTTGCTCACAGCCAGCGGTGGGCAGTGTGAATCCTCTGCAAACTTTCCTTGGTGGAACAAGAGTGACTTCTGAAGCCCAGGTATGATGACTATTTCATCTGCCTTTTTTTTTTTTTGAAAAACAGACAAAGCAAAAAGTTTTCCAGGGCTGTGCTGGAAGACTGGTCTGGTTTTCCTTTGACTGCACTGTGTCCTGTGGAGATCTGCTTAGGTGGGTATACAGACGGACACCTGTGGTAGTTCTGGGGGCGTGGGCAGCCTGTGGCTACCAGAGGGCATGGTTTGTGGTCACCCACTGGGACAAATGTTTGTGGAACGTGGGGCCTATTTCAGGCACTGGGAGCTGCCCTGTCCAGCATAGTTTTGGTCATCTCTGGAGGCCATCCAATGTCTGAATGCTGGTGCTTCAGCCCTGCTCTGCTTCACAAGGTCATAAAGGTGACCTTTAGAGCCAAGTTGTTCGAGGCAGCATAAATGGCCACCGAAGTGGTCTGTCTGGTGTAGAATGAATCATTGTGGTTTTCTTATCATCAAAGTGGTCCTTGGAGCAAGGATTCACATTCTCTACCCATTGGGCTGCTGCCTTTGTGAAGGGCAAACTCAGCACAGATCCACAGCCCAGAGCTACCAGCTGACACCAGCAACTCTGGGAGTGGAAGTTCTCTCCATAACTTACTTGTTGACAAACCCCGGCAGGGTGTGAACTGAGCAGGTGAAACACTGGGCTGTAGGGGACAAGGCTCGATGTGGGCCTCGACTTATTTTGCATCCAGGATCCATGCACTGCAATTTCTTGTACTGCCTTAGATTTAATGTAAGGGAACATGCGATCTCAGCCCTTTATTAACCTTTGAAACCTCAAAACATTTGAATCTGAAGCCCCTCTATATAGCCAATCATTCTAGAAAAGGGACTGTGGGGCTTTAACCAGAAATACGTCTTTATTTTCTTTTTCTTCATGCAAATATCTACCAATAATGTTCTTAAAGATTATTTTTCTGGGGAAGTTAAATAAGCTTTCTGAAATTTGATTTAAACTATTAATTTGCTTTGCAAAATCATATATTGCACATAGGCAAATTCGGCCATTGTGGCAAAATTATCACAAGTCATGAGTTAATGAGTTAACTTTGGGTTAATGAGGTTTTATCATAAACACAGAGTAGCATTACTTCCCGTGCCTGATTTTCATTAGTACAGAAAAGACCAAATAAAGCTAAAAGGAAAAAACAGAAAACAAGAAGCAGGGTTGCCTGTGCTATGGCCTTGTAAGCATTTGAAGGGTGGCTGAATTTTTTTATTTGTAAAGCGCTGACGAGGTATTGGTATTGCCTGCCCACATTTTGATTTGGATTAAGGCATCCACAAAATCTTTTTAGTTCCAGTGGCCTGAGAATTATTCTTGGACTTCTGTTCTCTCGTTTTTAAGAGTTTTCCCCAAAAAACAAAGAGGGGAAAGATGATTCATTTATTTATTTATTTTTGGGCAATGAGAACACGGGTGGGGTGGCTGGGGTCCAAAGGCATTTTGCAAAATGCAGATTCAGTCAAAGCCCAGGCAGGTTCAGGGTGGAACTGCAGGGATGAGGGAAGGGGAGGTAGAAAGGAGGATGGGGCTTGGGCCTGGGTCCTGGAGCTGGACCCTGTGGGGCAGGCAGTAGGGCTCAGGGCTTACATGGGGATGCAGAGCCCTGAATTCCACTCAGTGTCTTTGAAATCAGTTTTGCTCCTGTCCATTTGCTTGCCAAGAGGAGCTATGTGTTTAGTTCCCACTGAGTAGAAGGCGATTTCCTGTCTTTTAACCATAAATCCACACATAAATACTACATAATCATCCCTTTATTAGACAAAATGGCTTTCACCTTGAAGCTGTAGGGTTCCTCTCAGAGCTATGGATGGCTCTTTTAAAATCTTGGCCGGCTCACCTTTCTCGTTTTTCCTTGCTGTTCTGGACTCTTCCTGGTTTCTCCTTCCAGGGGACATTGTCACTGCTCTTCTCCAAAGCTCCAGCTCAGCAGATCAGCAGTCGGAGGTGGCCGCCTCGCGGTGGGAAGGGTGTGGGAAGGTGTTGACGAGGCAGGTTGGCCCTTCACATCAAATGCCCGGAGGATGGCAGAAGCCCAGCTGCCCACGGAGGTGCTGTTGGAGCTGGAAGGGCTTCAGTGGAGGGGCTGTCGCCGCGTGCGGGACCTGCAGGCCTGACGTGCAGCACGTGGGCATTGGTGCATGTCCAGGCGGTGCTGGGCGTGCCAGGGAAGCCGCCTGCCTTGGTCCACTCTGCGGCTGTCAGCCGGGCCGTGCATCTTCGCCCGGTCTTGCAGGGGGGAGTCCACATGCCAGGCAAGTCTTCCGTACTCTTCATCTGACGAGATGGCAGGGACCAGGAGCCGAATGACACTTTCCTGGATGTCAGAGGGAGGTCTGATATGGAAGTGCATTTCACAGGAACTAAATAATAGCAAATTTGTCAGAAAATATAAGATTTGAGGGAGAGAGCAAGTGTTGGGTTTGAAAAGACCTTGGGAGTGTTTGGCTCTGGCCCAGGAAACCTTCAGTGCTGGGTCCCCCCTGCTGCTGGCTATCATTTGGAACAAAATGAAACTGGATAACTTTGTTATGTCTTATTTACTGAAGCCCGCCAATTCCCCAGTGCCTCCAGGAGAAAGTCCTGGCATGTGGGGCCCTTCACATGCGAATCCAGGCTAGTTCTCCATGGTGCCCACTACTTCCTCCTCCCACCTGAGGACATCTGCCTGTGCACTTCTGCACATGCCCCACCCCAGACCCTTGCTTGCCTGGATAGGGGTCTGATTTCTCACTTTCTCACTCCCGTTCTCTCCTCCTCTGGGAAAGGCTCAGCTCATCCTCCAAGGCCTTGGCTCAAATGCCACCTCCTCAGATAGTGATGCTCAGGGTGGGGGACTGTGCTGGTCCCTAGGGCAGGGCCAATGATGGACAAGATGGTTTCCTTTCTGCTCAGATCTTGATCTGAGATTGATACGCCTGTCTCAGATGCTTCTGTCTCTGTGAGGATGAGGGGCTGAAGGCCTCATAGCAAGGCAGAGCTTGGTGGCACGTGCCGCACAGCAGCAGCCCAATAGCACCGATTGCCAGGGGGGCCTCAGATGCTCCTGTCATGTGCAGTGACGTGATCACCATGGTGTGTGGTGATGTCCTCTTTGCTGTCTTCAGTTTCATGCTCTGTCTGTGAGTTCATTAGTTGCAAGACCCATGACTTTGCTTCTCTGTGCCCCCAGAGCCTGGTCAATGCTGGGGATGCCTCACAGGAGTGGATGGAGGACCAGCAAGCCAGCCCCTGTGGCCAGCCACAGCATTGAAGTCCCTCAGTGCAGGGTGCCAACCAAGAGTAGTGTGGAATGTCCTAAGAAGCCCATAAGGAAAGACTCTGCAGAGATAGAGCTGCTGGCTTCATGGGGGACATCTGAAGATGAAGCTACTGCCCACATAAGCTCCAGGCCTTCAACAGCGGCTCGCTTATCCTGAGGCTTTGCCTGGGTACCTTCTGGGGCCTGCCTGTGTCCTCGTCTCCAGGACAGCCAGCCTCTGAAGCTCTGTCTGGGATGATGGGCAGCTCATCTTACTCCTGGGCCCTTCTGCCATTGGGCGCTGGAGCTGGAGGCCCCTCCCTGCAAGGCTCACTCTTCTTCACGTTGGTGAGGTCAGCCCAGTTGTTCTTTCATCACTCCCAGGAAGGAATAAGGGAACTCTGGGATTGTGGAGGACTGGTGCTGTTCACATGAGAAGGTGATGCTTCACAGCTCCTAAGTCTGTATCCCCCAAGGATGACCTCGGCCCTCCTGGGAAGAGGGGCAGGTTAGGCAGATGGGACTCTGTGTGGTGCAGACACCAAGTGTTCCCAGCCTTCAGGGGCTCCTGAGGCTCTCAGGTTTCAGAAACACCCAAAACTGGTCTAGCGAGACAGAGTAGGTGACCACATTGTATGACATAGTGGCTTCAGATGAGTAAATAAATGAGGAAATGTCAACAAGTCCAGAACCTTCTTCCTTGCTGGGAGTGCAGACTGGCACTATGAAAAAAGGGAACAAATTGGCACCAGGGAGACAGGCATTTCAGGGGTCTTGGAGTCTTGACAGGCTAATGAGAGTAAATTCTTTTAAATGGGTAAAGCTAGGAGAAGTATGTGTGTGTGTGTGTGTGTGTGTGTGTGTGTGTGTGTGTGTGTGTGTGTGTCTCCTTAGAATTGTACAAGAGGAAACATCTTCGACCCCTGGAAACTTCAGGAACTTCTGCTGTTCAGTAGAATGGATACCACTTTTCCCTGCCTGAAGATTTTATTACTATTTATTTTTAAGAAAGAAAAAGTCATTGAATGGTGTTTCTATGGTGGGACGTTTTGGAATGAATGGTGAGTCCGAGTGTTGGCATGATGGAAAGCTTGGCTGGCCTTCATGGCCCCTGGGGATCTCTGCCCAGAGCATCAGGTCTGCAGCTCCCACCTGGGCTGTAATCCCTTCTGCTGCCCTCGGAGGAAATTGTCCACTGCATCTTGCAGCTTTGTGTTGCAGACTCCAAGGCATACACCCCTGACTGTCCCTTTGGTGTTTTATTTCCTGTGGAAGTAACGAAGCCTGTAGTGCATCTTGGGTCTCCGTGGTATTGCTTAGATTTGGTCCCCCAAACCTGAGGTTGGCAAGCTGTGGCCCCTGGATCCTGTCCACCTCTGATTTTTACTGCTTGCAAACCTCAAATATTTTTTCCCCATTTCTAGATGATTATATATTAAATTGCAAGTTGCCTGAGTCACCTCCACATTTTTGCCACTCGGCCTACAAAGTCTAAAATATTTACAATCTTTCCCTGTACAGAAAAGCTTTCCCAACTCCTGTGCTAGAATGCCTGACTTTAATGATTGTTATTGAAAATATCAGGGACCAGCCGTGGCAGACAAGCAGTTTGGGAGGGGGTGTGCCCGTTGCCTCTTCTGTTTTACACGGGGCCTGTGGGGCATCCGGCTGGGCTCTTGTGGTTTCTCCTGCCTGGGAAGGTGAGCGAGCATCTGGGCTCAGTGAGCCTTGACCCTGTGGTGCGGGGACCTCAG